TATTGACGGGATGCACATAAAAATAATTGCGCCATCAAAAGATGAGGACGTGTTCGTCAATAGAAAGAAAGTACATTCCATCAACACGCAGATTGTTTTCATTCATCATGATAGGGGGACTTGAACGGCGGTATGGGCTGTTATTGAAAGTGTTTAAGTGCTGGAAATATGCTCATTGGATAATAGTTTGCAGGGTGCTTTTAATTGCCTTTAATGCAATTTACGTATTTTTATTGTTTGCTCTCTCTCTTTAACGTGCATATACAACGTCATTATCGTGGTCTGCACAAACTTGTCATCATGCGTGTATTCTGCTAACTGCACTGTCCATAACTATTTGCCTAGGCTATTTCCTTGTTTTTCGGTGATTTAGTGGGCTCGTTTGTGGGATGTTGCGGATGAGTTTCACCGAGACCGCCTGCTCTGAACAACCAATCACCGTACTGACCGCTTCTAAACTCATGCAGGAGAATCGACGTAATCCATAGCAACGGCGACTCTTGTTCACTCTTAGTTCACTCTTAGTGGTTTATCCTTAGTATGAGTAGGTCTCAGCGGCTTTGTGAATAACTTTTAAGAAAAAACTCCTACGTAAAATGTTTTAGCGCGAGTTAGGAGCACTCCTAGCGGTAAGATAAAATCCTTTGTGAATACGGCCCCAGGTGCACGGTACACTGTAACAAATAAGATTGGCGGCAAAGTTTTCCAGGTCGGATGCGTAAGACTAAAAACGAGACTTTCAAAGGAGTTATAATTTAACATCAATGTTTAATTCAGTCCAAAAGTAATATGTCATATTTAATGAATGCTGTGCAAAACATGGAATCATATTGAACTCTACTGACGTTAAAGTACTGTAGACATTCATTGCAGAGTTGTGGAAAACTGTAGAATTGTGTAACAAATGTTCCTTACTTATCCGTTTCCTGTGTTGTTCTGCAGACTACCCGTGGAGGTGGAACACTCCAGTGCTGATTAACTCAGCTCTCATCAAATGGATCCATCTGCCAGACTTCTACACCGTGCCCAACTCCAAAAACCTTATAGGTCAGTGGTGTGTTTGAGTTTATACAATCAATGTTGTGTACATCTTAGTGTACAGCAGCCATGTATTTCACTGTCATTCTGTTTGTGATTAAACTCATCCCATCCACGTTGCTATTTATTCCATTGGTGTGAAGCTACTGTGAATACACCTCATGCACAGATGCTTCACATTTAAAGCCACTCAGGTTTCCCTGTCCTGGTCTATTTGTGATTCATGATACTCAATTTAACAAAAGAGCCACTAAAGTACAGCTAAAGTCCAGGTATCTCATACAAACACTATTAAAGTGTTCTAATTGAGCAATATTAAGGTGTTTTTTCTGACAGAAATATGATGATGATGATGATGATGATGATGGTGTGTTGTGTGTGTCACAGCGGACTTTGTGCTGCTGGTCTGTGCGTCTCAGCAGTGGAAGGTGTTTGAGTGTGAGACCACGGAGGACTGGATGGTTCTGGCCGGAGAGAACACCGACGACCCCGACCCCATGGAGGGGCGACTGTTCAACCCCGCCCCCAACTTCATCAACTGCAGGTACTCTGTCTGTCTGTCTGTCTGTCCGTCTGATAAGAATACATGGCATTTCTGTAATGCAGTTTTATATTTCTTATTAACTAACATGTACACAGAATAATACCAACATATTTATCACAAGCTTAAATCTGATGTTGATATTATGTAAGGCTTGGATAGCTGTCGTTCAAACCACTATTAACTTGACATGAATGGGAATATTGGAATATTTATAGATTAGAAATATTAGTAATCTAAAGTCATCAATTTAAAATGTTTTGGACATTAATGTTGTCTCTCCCTGTCCCCCCCAGGAGTTACCTGGACATGGCAAAGGTGTTGGTGTTCCGCCACCTCTTATGGTTCGTGCTGTCTGTGGTGTTCATAACCGGGGCGACCAGGATCTCTGTGTTCGGGCTGGGCTACCTGCTGGCCTGCTTCTTCTTCCTGCTGTTCGGGTCCCGGCTGCTGGTGAAGTCCTCCAGGACCCGCCTCGCCCTGTGGGACTGTCTCATCATGTACAACGTGGCCGTCATCATTTCTAAAAACATGCTATCAGTAAGTATACTGCTCATCATGTCTTATCACGTTTGGCATGTGTTCAGCTCCTGGAGATGCTGAACACATGTATGGCACAAAAAACCATCCCTCCTGTCTGGAGAAAGGCCAAAGTGGTTGCAATCCCCAAACCCAGCAAAGACCCATCAACCCCAAAGAGCTACCGACCCATTTCCCTCCTCTGCATCACTTACAAACTCCAACGCCTCATGCCACTCATAGACACCAAGCTGACTAGGGATGGGTATCGTTAAGGTTTTAACGGTACTACTACTTTTATCGATACCGCTTATCGGTCCGGTCTTTTAACGGTACTTTTATCGGTTCTTTTGGAGAAAAAAATAAGGTAAACTAACTAAACAAATTGTGAACAAAACTAACAAAATACATAACTCAGTTACCTCTAATCATTAACCCATGTTTGTATAATGTCGTTAACTCTGTGTGTTGCTGCTAGCATACTATACATACCTTACGTGGAAACGTTGCTCGTGGATGGGGGGGCTACAGAGCTATTAGAAAGACCGTCGAACCCGGTGCATTCCTCCGTCTGAATGTGGTGCACTTTTGCAAAATGTTTAGACAAATTGCTCGTGTTACCGCCCTTACATGCTAAACTCTTATTGCACTTTAGGCGGTAAAGTTTAACCACACCTCGGAGTGCGTTATCTCGTGTGTGTGTGTGTGTGTGT